TGTGTGTCAAAACGACCCCCCCTGCCCATATGTCAGCAGTAGCGTGGGGAGCGCCGCTAATAACTCTGTCAAAGCACTCAGTGAGGGCAGGTATTGCAGACAGGATTTTCCAGTTGAATTCGATAAATCAAAACCACAGCGCAACTATTTTTACTGCATCTTTCATGCAAACTGCTTTCCAGATGGCTTTGGACAGAAAGAGGAACACGTGCACTGGGGAGCTGCCTGTAGAGGAAGAAGAGGGATTCACGTGAAGGAAGGTGAAAAGAGATGACTTAAGAGTGACCAGATATGGCCAAGGCAGTTTTGAGCTGGGGAATACATATCTAATCCAATGGGACACGAGGAAACACTTTTTTTCCCCGTGAGGACAGTCAAGCAGTGGACCAGGGGCCCAGAGAGGTTTATTCAGTCTCTATTTCTGGGGGTCATTTGTTCCTTCAAGCCACCTGCTGCAGGCAGCTAAATCCCAGTGCCCCCAGCAGCTCCAGTGAGGTGGACCAGAGAGTGCAGGAGTTGACCAGGCTCTGAGGACACACCAGAGGTTTGGCCATGCCACTCCCAGTGGCATAGAAAGATGTGTCAGGGCTGAGGGACTGAAGGACCCCCAAGGCAACTCTGCAGCTGCAGATGGATGCTTGGAAATATTCATGAAGATAACAACCTTTCTTAACACATATCAAGCTCACTACAGCTCAGCAACAGCCAGATGTGGCATCACTTGTTATTAGACCCAAATCCTGGAGGAGTCACGGGTGATTTAAACATGATGTCACCTTAGAAGATACCTATGCTTCCTGCACGCTCATTTTTCTCCCCTGTGGCAGTCCCAGGTTCTCCTTATCCAGGACAAATGGTGGCTTCACCTTTTGGAAACCCTTCCTGCTCTCCATAAAACAGTCCTGGCTCCTGGTCCTCCATCACCTTGACCACCACAACCCCCTCCTGGACACACTCCCCTACCCAGTCACACTAAACTTGGGTTTCCTCCTTTTCCATCTCCAGGACCTGATGCCCATCTATAGCTCCGCTCCCCATCCACCTCTTCAAACTCATCCTGTCAACCATGATTTTGCACTCTGCTTTCATCAAGAGTCTGGCCCCAACATGCCCATATTTGAATCTTTAAAGCTGTGATGGCCAAAAGAGAGGAAGGCAATCCACACGAGGTAGTGGAAATGTCTTCCCAGCCCTACTCCCCCACCCACTGTCACACAGCTCGCACCATCAGTCCATCCAGGCTTGAAGTTCACTGCCAGGAGGTGTTACCAGAGGGGAGTTTTGACAGATGTATTTGAAACAAGGGAGCTGTACTGAACTGAAGATTGACAGGAACAAGCTTTTCATAGTTTTGTTCCATTTTATTTTTTCAGTGAAATGTGTCCTTCTAAAAAAAAAATTGTTTTAGCAGAACTACCTTTGAATTTGTCCTCTTTCTCTTTTGGGTTTAGACGAAAGAGGTCATTTTTTTTTTTTTTTTTTTTTTTAGGGAAGCAAAAGGAATATAATATCCACCGGAGGGAAAAAGAAATCACGGATATCTTGGTAGTTGAGTATTTTTATCGAAAGGTGGCAAACCTTAGCGACATTAAAAGTCATGTTTAAAAATGACCAAGTGGAAAGTTATAAAAATGAACAAGTCTTGTGTGAAAATGATTAAGGGAATTTCAGGCACAATAGAAGTCATCTGTGAAAATTGCCAGGAGAGCAGAGAAGACATTTCTGTCTCTAAAAGGAAAATAAAACACTATTCACAGTAATTCATACTAATCATTAGACTTAAGTAGTACTAATTTTTACCCAGCAATAATTACTATTTAAGGCTCCAGGGCTCTGGAAAAAAATACTTTCTGGGTGTGGCGAGATCCTTGCAGAGGAATTTGCACAACGTTTGCGGACAGCCTGTTGAGGGAGAAGTTTTATTTCTCCTCCGCACCAATACAGAGAGACATAAATATCACATTCTTATTGATGCAAATAACGGATTGCTCCTGTCAAAACCGACAAAGGCACTAATTTAAGGAGCATTTCCCTCTCGTACACACAGATGCATTTTTTTCAAGAGATTTTTGCTCTCCCCCTGGGATCTGAGTTCCCAAACCAGGTGAAAATCCGCCAGACGATCTCTTGTGTTTGATTGCATCTGTGAAGAGCCTGTGGGAAACATATGCCAGAAATTATGCTAACGACCAAGTGCAGTAAAACTTGCCAGGTAAACGCAGCAGTTGCCGGCAGAAGACAGCCCAGATGCCATTTCGGGACCCTGCCCTCCATTGCAGTGGTCCAGTAATGACTCTTGGTCCCATGGGGACTTCACAGCAAACTACTGCTTTCAACTCCAGCCCAGATTTTTGTTCTAACCCTTTAATTAATTTTTTTTGTTAGTGAAGGGACTGATGTGTCCTCTGAAAGCTGCACAAGGGATGGGCAGTGCTCTGGAGGCTGCTGACAGGTGTAAACCCAGTGTCCTTGTAAAATTAATTCTATTATTTATATTTAATCATATCAGTGCTTTCTAGAGCACTGATTTTCCATAAAGTCTTCCTGAATGCTTCACCACTGTCCTGTGGGTGGGATTTCTAGCCGATACCACACATGAAAGCAAATATCAGTGGACACTACAGTAATGATGAACTTCCCCAAAGCCATGTCCATGTCCCCATTTGTGTGCTCCTGTTCTGTCCTTGCCTTCATGTGTCTGCTGGTGAGACAGGTCAGGGAGCTGATCTGGCTGAAAAGCGGTTGAGAAAAAGAAAAAATACGTTCAACTATATAAGTTGCCAGGTCTGGGTCACCATTTGTGCCTGTGCCACCGGGGAGCTGAGTATGAAGTGACAGCAGGAGCTCTCCATCCAAGCTAGATGATGGCGACGCTGCCTGGTCCCACATCAGAGAGCCCTAATTTCTCCAAGCCCTGCCTCCTCCACCTAGGATCACCCCAAAAATGTTGGGGGTACGCACAGACACACACAAAAAGCAAGGCTCTCACACTGCAGCCCACACGGTGTGGGGCCAGCCTGGGTGAAGCTGGAATTGCCATCCTTGCAGTTGTAGAGGCTGCCGTGTCCAGCCCGGCACCCCTGATCCCTGTGGGGAATCTCCTCAGGCATATCTGAACAAGCAGCCCTCGTCCATCCGTGACACAATCATCTAGAAAATATCTAGAGAAAAGGCTGAGGGCATCAAGTGGCATCTGCCGTCACGGTGCTGAGCCTGCGGGGTCAAATACCAGTTCAGAGGTGAAAAGGTCCTTCTGGAAACCCCAAGATCAGAAGACCAAAAGGTGAATACTAGCTGATGGCTTTGCTCTGGCTCGGACTGGGGGTGATGTGTGTGTCCTTAACACCTGCCCCCTACTCCCAGTTGCATTGCTGACAATGGAGAGCTGGCCATTTGCTCTTTTCTTTAAGTCCACTTTCTCTAGAGAAAAATCAATCAGTCCACCAGCCAGTCAATCAGGCAGTCAATCAGTGAGGCAGTCAATCAGAACCACTTGGAAAATGGATCCCGCAAAGACCTGGACTCCCACCCAGGGGCCCTGTGAGCCTCGCAGGAAAAAAATCCCCAGCTCTGAGGGTGGTTGAGAGCTTCCCCAGCCCAGGGCACAGCTCCAGCCCCTGCGAGGCAGCAGCCACCCCAACCTGGGGCATGTCCAGGTCCTGGTGCTCCCCCAAACCTCTGGAGGAAAGCATTCCCTGGCTGGAGATGGTCCCTTTGGGGGGGTGGGGGGGCGTCGAAATCCCTCCCCCCTCCGCCTCTGGGACTTGTAAGTGTTGCTGCTGCTGACATCTAGTGACAGAGAGAGCCGGCAAGAGGAGTTACCTGGAGCTCTGACAAAGCCTTCCCCACCGAGGGAAAAACCTACTCGGGGTCTTCCCCAGGAGGTGGGCTCACAGCAGGGATGCTCGGGGTGCGGAGGAGGCCGGGCCGGGATGTCCCAGCCCCTTCCATACATCCCAAGCCCTTTTCCTCCCCCAGCGGCCACCCAAAAAGGACCTCTTCATCCTAACCCCTGCCTCCCTCCCCCCCCCAGCCTTTTCTGGTCTATTTAAGCATAGACTCATTCTTGGCTTTGCTATCTCAAAGAAGCACAGGGAGGGGGGGAAATAAAAATACTCTAAGGGCAGCTGGGGGGGGGGGGGGCTGCAACCAGGCAAAACCAGGCGGGGAGGGGCTGCCAGCCCCCAGGTACGGCTCTTCCCGGGGGTGCGGGGGGCCCCGGGAATTGCACAGAGGAAAACGGTTTGTTTCCAGCTGGGGAGAAGCAGGATGAGAGCGGGATGCTCAAAGTGCGGGTGATGCAGCCCACATCCCCACCGGTACGGTGGCATCCCACGGGCGACAGCATCTCCCCGCCACGGCAGTGGACGAGGGCTGCCTTTAGAGCTGATAGAGGGATGGGGGGGAGAGCTTAGCCCCCCGCTCCCGGTGAAAAAAACCAAACAAACAAACGAACAAAAACCTCAACAAAAAAAAAATAAAACCAAAAACCCCAACAAACCAAACAAGAAAAAGCCCTGAGGACAGCCCAGATCGGCGCTCAGGACACGGTGCACGGCGCTGCACAGCACAGCCCTGGAGCTGGGGCTGCCAGCCCCCCCCCCCACCGCCCCCCACCGCCCCAAAACCCCGACATTTTCCAGCTTCCCCGTCACCGTGGGGCTGCCCGGCGCCGTGGAAAATCTGCCTTCCCCCCCCCCCTTTCCCCGAGAACACATCCCTCCCGGCTCCTCTTCCCCGCCAAGAAGTGTCTTAATTCCCGGGGTAAATTTAGCCATTTCCGCGGCTGGCAGGACTATCCGGAGTGACAGGAGGGAAGAGCCGAGAGTGAAGGAGAAAGCTGGGTGATGCTGGGCTTGCCACTGGGGTGCTGGGGAAGTGGGGGCACCTCCCGTACCGGGGGGTGGCCGAAAAAAAAAAAAACAAAAAAATCCCGTCCCCGCAAGGATGCTCCCCAGCAAAAAGTTGTCCCCCCTCCCCGTGCTCGCCGCTCTACTCACCCAGGAGGATCAGCGTGCAGAAGTAGAGGATGCCCCTCATCCTACCGCTCGCCCCGGCTCGGCTCACACCCACTCGGCTCGGTTCGGCTGGGCTCGGCCCGCGCAGGCGGTGCGGAAGGATGCGCGGAGGCTGGGCAGGGCGGGAGGCGGCCCCGCCGCCCCGGCCCGGCCCTCCCGGGCCGAGCGTTCACACGGCGGCCGGCTCAGCTCCGCTCTGACTCCGGATCGTGCCCGCAGCCGGGCTCCCGCCGGCCGCTCTTCGCCGCATCCCTCCGGGGCAGCTGCGGAGAGGGCACTTCCTTATTTATTTATTTATATATATATATATATATATATATATTTTTTTTTTTTTCCTCCCTTTCCCTTCTTTCAGCAGCAAACTTCTCTCCGCCGGGCGGAGGTTCCGCGCCGTGCCCAAGCGGCGGGGCAGCCCTCGCCTCCTTCCCCGCGCTGCCTCCGCCGCCACGACTCCGCGGGGAGGGGCTTGGCTGCCCGGCCCCGCTCCGCCCCCCCCCCCCCCCCCCCCAAGCTCCGCATCCCTGTCCCCGGGGAGCATGGGGGGTGGGGGGGGGTGGAGGGTGGTGTTGGTGTCTCCCCAAACCCGGAGCACCTCGTGGTCCTGTGTCTTGGGCGAGCCCCAAGCGCCCCGGGGTATGGCCCCTTGCACCCCTTCCAGCCCCGAGCTGTCTTCTTTTCCCCTCGCAGCCCTCCTAGAAGGTCCCCGCATTCCCCCCCCCCCCCGCCCCAACCCCTCATCTCTTCGCAGCCTCAGCCTCGCTGAGGTTGAGAGCACCAGCCCCATCCTCTTGGGACTTGTGTCCTGGTCTTGCCTGTTTGCTGAAAGAGACGCAGCCCTGAAGTCTTGGGCCACATCCTACCACCCCCCCCCTCCCAGCCATGATACCTCCCATTCACCTCCTGCAACACGATCACCTCCCAAATCTCCTCCAAACGACACCTCTGTGAATTCAGGTTCTTGTGCTTCCACTGAGGTCTCCACACCTCCTTCGCCATGGTGCACTGAGCCCATCCAGTCCCTAAAGAGGTCCCTGGGTGCTTCTCCCACCCCCCAGCCTCCCCCACGTTTACTCCCCCTGTCCCAGCAGCTCACCCTCTTTTAGGAAGCCAAGCAGCAGAGCCTGGCTCCTTCATCTTTACGATGATGAGCGAGCATCATTTTCCACTGCCTCCTTTTCATGCATGGGGTAGCTGAGACACAAAATATGAAGCGATGTCTTCAGGTTCACCCAGGAATTGAGTGACCCGTGGAGTAAGCAGCCTCATTCCCAAGTCAGTACCCTGTAAACACAGACACCTCTGCCCCTCCTCCTAATGCAGGCTTGCCCTTTTGGAGGTCTTATTTTCTCTTCTCTTTCCCTCTCCTCTCCTTTTCTCTTTTCTTCTCTCTTCCCTTCCCTTCTCTCTTATCCTCTCTTCCCTCCTCTCCTCTCTTTTTCCTTTCCTTTCCTTTCCTTTCCTTTCCTTTCCTTTCCTTTCCTTTCCTTTCCTTTCCTTTCCTTTCCTTTCCTTTCCTTTCCTTTCCTTTCCTTTCCTTTCCTTTCCTTTCCTTTCCTTTCCTTTCCTTTCCTTTCCTTTCCTTTCCTTTCCTTTCCTTTCCTTTCCTTTCCTTTCCTTTCCTTTCCTTTCCTTTCCTTTCCTTTCCTTTCCTTTCCTTTCCTTTCCTTCTCCTCTCTTTCCTCTTTTTCATCTCTTCCCTTCCTTGCCTTTCCCTTCTTTTTTTTTTTTTTTGTTTTTTTAATTTCTATCCCTTCTTTTTCTTTCTTCTCTTTTTCCTCCCCTTTTCCTCTTCTCTCTCATCCTCCTTAACTCAGAGGCTCTTCTGATGATTCAGAGAAGCACTGGGGCACTTTTTCCACACTGAAAGCCCAGACAGAGATTTTGAACATTTTCAGCAAGAACTTTCTTGACTGCTGGGTCAGGTATTTTAGCTAAACAGTTATTTAAATGCTCTGGGAAAGTTTTTTCACTGGAGCTGTTCAGGGTTCTTAATTCGCATTTTCTTGTGGCATCACCTCATTAATCCTCCAGCAAGTTCTCCTGGAAAACCAAAGGAATTGCACATTTTTATTTTTCATGAACAAATCAGAGAAGGGAAATAATTCATACAGCCATTTGCAGGTCGTTTATATAAAGTATAAAGAAGTTGAGAAAATATGGTTGGTTTTTTTGTTGTTTTGTTTTTTTTTTTTTTTTTTTCCCCCTTGGTAAATCAAAAGGAAAGTGTGATCCCTGGTCTTCCTCTCCTTTTGAAAGTTTCTACCATGCTCCAGTCCAGAGCTGTTCATTTAGCAAGTTTTCTAGTCCTCTGTCAGAATTGAAAACTTGTAAATAAATGAATGTTTTTAATAACTGTATTCCACATCCAAAACGAGCAATTCCTGAGGTGCTCAGTGGGGAAAAAGAAAGTGTTAATAAAACCTCTTTCAGAGTAAAATAGCATTACTCTTGAGCTGTTGTTTATTTTTTTTTTTTACTTCTTAAAGAATAGTATGATTGTGTTTAAACAAATTTCAATATGAAATTGCTATGAGATGCAATTGAAACATCTAACTTGGAAACTGGGGAAATGATTGGATTTTTCTGCTTATTATTATTTTTAATTATTTTGTGGATTTTTTTTTTAGCATTCTATTTTTGACGTAGCGATTTGTCCAGGAAAAATAATATCACTGGCACACATGTGACTTTCCGTGGGTCTTTTTAACAAATGAAAAAAATATTTTCCTTGGAAAATATCTGTCTTCCCCTCAGGAATGAGATATTCTGATGCTCTTGGACCGAAAGAGCCCCATCACCCCGTGCATTAAAGAAGGGATGGGTTCGGCTCTGTGTCAAGGATGTTGAGAACAGGGATGTGGGGACTCGTTTTCCCTGGCACTCTGTCTTGTCCCTTTGTTGGGGTCTGAGCTGCAAAAAAACACCCTTCTTTTTGGTCAAATTGGGGAATCTGCATCAACCTCCTCCATCTGCACAGGTGGAGCTGGAGGAGGCTTCGCTGGCCCCTCTCGGGCTACGGACAAGCTACAGCCGCCCTCTCCAGACAAGGGGAAGCTGTCAGGGAATCAGTGCTATGAAAGCAACATTTCTTCCTAAGTTTGAAGAAAAAAAAAAAAAATAGTAAGGGGTTTTAGGGATGGGGAAAGTCCAGGCACAGACAACCCCCACTGCCCATCCCAACAGGGAGAGGCATTTCCTGCCTTTTCTGTAATTATTTTCATGGGGGGGGGGGGGGAACCCATACACTGGGAAAAGCCACCCAGAAGAGACAGGCTGCAAATACTGTGAAGAGAGAGGGATCGTTGTTCCTTGCTGCCTTATTTATCAGATCTGGGCTTTCTCCTAATTGCTGGGTAGAAGCTGAGATGAATAAAGTTAAGTAAAAACCACTCCTTCCCTGCACATACCCATATCCCTCCTAAAATTACCTGCTACCTTTCCTTACAAATGAATCTAGGTATTGATCAGTCAAGTGTAAAAATATCCCATTGTTGCTCATGTTAGACCTATCCCAAAAAGCTGCTCCCCAGAGCTCCAGATAACAGATTTAGTAAAGGCAACGAAAGAAAGAATTGTTTGGGTAGGTCCGTGGAGAAATCACTGGGCAGGGAAGGCACATAAAATATGCTGATTAAAAGAAATGCACTTGTGAGAGTGAAACCGGTTACAATGGAAACTGGAACACAACTTTGGTCTGTCTTCCTTAAGTAAGATTGCTGTGGAGAACCCTATCATTCACATTCCCATGACAATAGATGTTCCTCTAATCCAAAAATAGCCATAGGAACAAGGCAAGAGAACTGTAGCTGTCTCTTTTTATAAATGGTGAAGTGATGACTGAGAGATTAAGGGATTTGTGCAACTCAGAAAAGTTGGAAAACAACCAGAATCATTCCAGAACAACCAACCAACCATCCATCCAAGGACAGCACCCATGCACAAACATCTCTTGCTTCAAAATGCCTCTCAGGGAAATGGTGGCACACAGGGAAAAAGACAAACCACTGCTGGCCAGGAGACATGGGGAGGTTTAGACCAAGAAAGAAGCTGTCTAGAAAAGTGGGGTGGGATATGTGAGAATCTGTGACACCTGCTGCTGGGGTGGCAGAAGAAGCCAAGCAGATGTGGAAAAGACGCACCAGGCAGTAGAAACCCCAAGCACTGACTATCTTGGTCTCCAAAACTGAGAAAGACCGGAGTATTCCCTGCCCCAAACATTTCTAGGCCTTATTGTTTGGAATCATTTGAAAAAAAATCTCAAAACTTGGACTAAGATAGGCCAAAAAAAAAAAGGCAACACGCTTTCAGGTCAGGTCTGCAATCTTCCTTGATGTGGCTTCAAAAAATCCTGCTGCTGATGAAACGACTGATAGGATTTTGTTATAATTGCTCAAAACTTCTGGAAACCCATTCAGCCTCACATCAGTTATGTATAAACCAAATGTCTGCAGAAATGCAGAAACCCAGTCCTTCTTCACTTCAGCAATAATTGGAGTTTCCAGACCGGATCCTGTTTTGCCTCCCGGGGTCAAAACTTTATGGTCCCTAAGGAAAAATCTGCATGCGAAGAGAACAAATATTTACCAAAGCGACCTGCAGAACAAAACAGGAATACACTACCTGCTGTGCTGAGGGTGCTCAGAAACCGGAGGAAAAAGGATGAACTGTTTTCCCAGGAAGAATATCCAGTGGAGGCAAATCCAGTTGCACAACCCTATGGAAGGAGGAAGAAACGATGGGCACCAAAGAGAGGTGAAGGTAGGCCGAACCTTGTTTATATGAGCAAAAACGAGGAGGTGACCCAAAGGAGGTGGATCAGAGACAAGGAGGGCTTTGCTGGAGGTGTCAGAGCTCAGGGAGTGAGGAGGACAAATTCTGAGGCCGAGGGATGGCTGACACCTTGCCTGCAGGCACAGGAGGGTGTTTCCCAGTCAGCCGGCATGGGAAGCTCTGCAGTAAGGTGGTTACAGGACAGGTTCTCAGGCGACACCCCCTCCCTGTGCACATACACCTGTAGGACCTTCACTTGATGACCCTTCGGGGGGACAACATGGAGCAGGAGCAGCAGTTCTCAATGAAAGCTGATAGCACACCTGCCCCTAAGATTTTGATGCTGCTAGACCTTTTCTGAACAACTTCCTTCAAAAACCATTTCTGCTCCCAGAGTCAGGTGAGAGGTTCTTCTCACTCACCTAATCTATAGCACACGATCCAAGATGTGGATCAGCTTCTGTAGATGGAGTGACTTCAGCCTGACTGCGTTACGTCTTCAGCAGGTGCAGGCAGAGAGGACAGAGATGGATTAGGGCAAGGTGGATGGAGATCACCCATCTTCTGCCTCCTCCCACACCGGAGTGAGGGCCAGGAAATTAAATGAGAAAGAAGCAGATGCAAACCTGATTGGGAAAAGTGGATCTCTGGTGTGTTGTTGCTTTGACACAGGGTTTTA